AGCAGCACCTCGGCTGTGGGAAGCTGCTTTGTTTTTTGCTTTACATTTTCCACCATTCCTGGAAGTGGACACTCTGACCTGTCTACCGGGAAGCAGCCACAGCCCCCTTGTCCCCTTTTGGCCCCCTCAGCCTCTGCCCCTCTCCACCCTGCCAGGATGTTCCACTCCCAGAGGGTCTCACCATGACCCATAGGCTGCAGTCCCATGCACCGAAGCCAAGCAGCTCCATCCCAGCCCCAAGCATCAGCTCCAGGCTGATTTATAGAAATCCAATGGCTGGGGCTGACGGTGCCTCCTGCCAAACCTCATTAACGGCTGGCCTGGGAGAAGGCAAACAGCTTGTGCAGCAACAAGGAAATCCTTGTTTAAGCATTTCTGGCTATCCAGGGCCCTTCACCTCATGCCCAGGGGAGAAGGAGAAAGAGGAGGTGAGGAGAAGGAGGAGGAGGAGGAGGAGGTGCAGGCCACAAGCCCCAAGCTGGCACCACCCTGGCAGCCACAAGAAAGGAGACACAAGGGGACACAGCAGGGTCTGCACAGGCAGAGAGCCCCCAGGATGGGATGTGAGCTGGGGGGGAGCAGGAAGCCACATGGGCATGACAGGGGCAGAGGGCTCCCACACTGCCACAGGACCCTGCTCACCCCTTGGTGCCCTGGGCTCCCACCCATGCCAGGTTCCACTGGCCATGGGTGCAGTGAGCTCCGGGCACGCAGGACTGCTGGGAGGCCATGGGAGCCCACTGTGGGCACGGGACACTGGCACACCTGGCCTGCAGACTGGCACCCACGAGCTCTGGAGCAGCCTCAGCGACCTGCATCCGCCTGCCCCACGTGTGGCTCAGGATCTATTTCATCATCTGGAGAAAAGCATTTACTGCCAATAAACGGGCTAATTAATTCTCCTCAAAGACCTCTCAATTATTCATTTCGGGCCACAGAGAAAACAATTACAGCACTTACCTCAGCCCTGGCTCGGCCAGTGCAGCAGCTGGAGGCAGGCAGGGCACAGCGGGGACGGCCCTGCACATCTCTCAGCACGGACCCTCGGTGCCTGGGCAGCCCCAGCTCTGCCCACCCAGCCAGAGTGTCCCCACGCAGTGCTGAGCAGGGCTGTGGAGCTGGCACAGCCACTAGCCCTGAGCCGTCATCGCCACCAGTACTCTCCCAGGGTGCCCCCAGAGCTGCCCCAGCACCTGGGCTCTCCCAGGGACCCCACGGCCACCCCATCCCCACAGCGCCGGGGCCCTAACCCACCCCCAGCCCTCGCTGGGTACAGCGCAGAGGGGCTTTTCCCCCGGCGGTTCTCCAGCTCTTTGGTCCCTGGGATAGTTGGTCCCTCTGCCCTATGGCAGGGTCCAGCCCCTATTCAGCTGTACCCTGAGAAGCAAAACCCTTTGGGGGGCACGGTGGGCTGGGGGGGCCCTTCCCGGCACGGCCGGACCCCGCCGGGGCTGAGGCCGAAAGGCCCCCGGGGGCCGGGTCTCTCCCACCGGCTCCCGGTGTGCCGCGGGTCAGGCTGCCTCGGCACTGGAGCCTCCGGTACCGCCAGGACCGCCGGGACCCCCTGTTTCTCGGGAGTGGGGCCATCGCCGCCCCGGACCCGGCGGACAGAGTCCCCCGCAGGTCCCCGGAGCCGCCGGGCCGGGCCGGGCCGGGCAGGGCGGGCGCAGTCGCCCCGGGTCCCGGGCCCGCAGCCGCCCGTCGGGCCGGGAAGGGTTAAGGGCGGCCGGCGCCCCCCCGGCGCGGAGGCCGGGCCTGTCGGGAAGCCGGGATCTCTGCGGCGGTTTTACTGGAAAAGTCGCTGCCGGCGGAGGGGGGGCATCCGCGGCCCCGCGGGCTGGGGACGGGGCACCGGCCGGGACCGTGCGGCCACCGGTCCCCGGCTCCGGACCACGCGGGGCTCCGTCGGGGCTTCCTCGAGGCAGCCCACGGCTCCCGCACCGGGTACGGCCGTGGCAGCCCCGGGACTCTGCCCGTCGGGGCTCTGTCCCGGGCCGAAGCTCGGCCGGTGCCGTGTGCGAACGGTGACCGCCGAGTGCCGCAGCTGGGGACACGGCACCGGCACCGGGACACCGGGAGTGCGGCGGGCGGGGGCACGACCCGGACCGGCTGAGCCTGGAACCGGCGTCCCCCTGCCATTCCCAGTAGCGGGAAACCGCTCGGCTCCGCGGCTCCGGCCCCTCAGGGGTGATGGATGGCAGCTGCCCCGGCCCCGGTGGGACCGGGACCCTTCAGGACGCCAGCCCAAGGGGACGAGCCGTGGCAGCCCAGAGGGCAGGCAGGGTGGGCAGCACAGGCAGCAAGGACAGTGTGGCTGTAGGGCCAAGGCAGCTTGGCAGGAAAACACTCCAAGCTCATGGTGAGAATGTCAGGGTCACTGCCCGGTCCTGAGCCAGCCCTGGGCACCTGGCACAAGACCCCCAGGGCACCACCTGAGCCACCGACAGCCCCATCCCCACAGAGCCCCCCTTGCAGCCACCAGCTCTACTGGGAGGCTGATAATAGAGCTCACTGCCAGCCTGTCCCAGGGTAGGCCTGTGTGCCAGGGGCAGAGGGCTCGGCCCCAGCCTGGTGAGGAACAGCACTGTGCCCCCCCATCCCACAGCCCCTCTTGAGCCTCCTGCAGTGCAGGGCAAGCAGCTGGGCCTGGCAGGGCTGGGACGGGGCTGCCGGTGGGGCCGGTGGCAGGGGGGGCCCAGCTCCGGGAATCAGCCCCAGTGGCTGCCAGGCCTGTGGCAGGGAGGGGGGGAAACCCGATCCTCCGCGGTGGGGTCTGGGCTCCACTCCCAGCTCCCCAGCCAGGCCTCAGCTGCTAATTTTAGCCCCGGGGAGGCACGGCTGGAGCAGGAGCTCAGCCCAGCGGAGCAGAGGCTCAGCCCACCACAGGAGCTGGTGTGGGCAGGTGGTGGCTGCAGAGCCACAGCGCAGTGTGGTCCTGGGCAAGCCCCCAGCTGCCAGCCAAGCCACTGGCCAGGCATTGGCACTGCCCACCCACTGCCCACACTACTGTGTCCTCAGCTTGGCTGCCCCACATATGGCCACCAAGCCCCACCATGGCCCTACTGGGCCCCGTGCAGATGGGGGGGCTCTCTGTGTGTGCTTGCAGTGAGGGGAGACCCTCGAGGGAGGTCGCAGCCCAGAGACCCAGAGAAAGATGTGGGGCTGAAGGACAAGGGGCTCTGCAGAGGAGACCCAGCCACGCTGCACAGTCCTGCAGAGGATGTGGCCACCTCCTAGTGAAGGAGCCCCTGCTTGGCTGCAGGTCCTGCCTGGGCTATGGGGGCTGCACAGCAAAGAGCCCTGAGCTGTCCCTCAGCTCTCAGAAGCCACCCTTCAGCATTTGCTGGAGTCACGCACAGGGACAGCCAGGATGCGTGGGAGCTCTTCCCACTGTGGGCACCCCAGGGCCACCAGTCACCCCAGTAGGTACTGTGGGAATGGATGGGTGAGTGGCTGCGAAGGCCATGTTGAGGGATGCTCCAGCCACCGAGCCTTTCCAAGTGAAGAAAGCAGCTCCAAAGCCCGCCTTGCCCTAGGGCAGCCGCCCCAGGCGTGGGGAGGGGTCCCTGGCCCAGGGCCCCACAGCTGCTCTTCCCCCCAGCCCTTCACCTGTGACGTGACCGGCTGTGCTGCCCAGCTCTTACTGGAAGAGGAAGCTGCTGGGAAGGCGGTGTGTGCGGCGGGGCAGCTTTGGGGAGGCTCGGCTGGGCTCGGCAGCCGGCACAGCTCAGCTGTCCATGCTCCCAGGTCCAGGGCCAGTAACGGGAAGCGTCTGCTCTCAGTGACGGTAAATCAGATCGGGGAGATTAGAGGCCTTTTTGCCTAATCATGAGCAGCTTGAAGTTGGAGGACAAGTTCCTGGAACAAAGAGGAAATGGAGGCAGTAAATAAAGAAAAACTGTTAACATGTGGCCCTGCGTGTGAAAAATGTCTCGTGAAGGACTGTTTATGGCTCACTCATCTGCGGGGCTGACAGCGAGGGGGGCAGTGAGGGAGGGGGCCCCATGGGCAGGGGCGCAGGCAGGGGCAGGGCAGCCGGTGGGGAAGCTGCAGGGATCAGGATGGGGGATCTGGGGAGGGCCAAGGCTGTGGCGGGGCAGAGGGAGGGAGAAGGCAGCAGCATGGCAGGAGCCATGGTGCAGGTGGCTGGAATGTGGCACATACACAGGTGGGCAGGGCTGGGCAGCATAGCCCCTGAGGGGAAGGGAGGACCTGAACGCACCTGCCCTGCTGATCCCCTGCAAGTGCCAGGAGAAGGTGTCAGGTTCTGCAGAGCTGTGCCCCTCTCCCCATCTACAGCACGAGGCAGATGCAGCCCAGCCGGTCCAGCCTGACAGGGAAAGGCAGGGGGGTCTCACTGCTGCACTGGGCACATGCCCTCCTGCTCCCGGGCAGTGTAAAGTTCTGCCAAGAGGCCAGTTGAACCCCCCAGAGGAGGCAGGTAGCGCTGAGAACTGCGGAGCTGCCCACAGACCCCACAGCACCGGTGCAGTGCCAGCCCACCTTCGGTGCCACCGGGTGATGCGTCGGCTGCTGCCAGGGCAGACACAGCCAGAGCTGGAGCCAGGTGACCCCGTGCCAGCCCTCTTGGCAGCGGCACAGCGTGGCAGGAGCCGCAGCTATCCTCGCTCAGCCACGGAAAGACTCGGGTATCCCCCCTGGCGCCTAGGATGGGGCTCCCGGTGAAGCGAGGGGCCGCGAGAGACTGCGGGGCTGGGGCGGTCCCCCACCCGTGTCACCCAGCACCACTGTGGCTGAGGCGACCGCAGAGGTGGGGGATGGAGGGACGACGGCTCTACAGTGCCCACGCATGGACTGCTGCCCCGTGCCGTCGCCACGGCCCCGTATCCCTGCCCCGTTCCCGGGGGGGGGGCCGGGCGGTCCCGCCCCCGCCCGGGAGCCCTTGCGGGGGGCGGTCCCGACGATGCGGGCGGTGCTGCGGCAGGGGCGGCTGTCCGGGTCCAGGGGGGTGCTCGGGGGGTCGCAGCCGCGGAGGCTCCCCGGCTCCGCCGCGGTTTCCCCGCGCACCGTGGACCTGCGGAGCGACACGGTAACCCGGCCGTGCGCGGGGATGCGCCGCGCCATGGCCCGCGCCGTCGTGGGCGACGACGACTACGGGGAGGACCCGGCGGTGAACGGTGGGCGGAGGGGACGGACTTTCCGTGAGGTCCCCGGACCTGTGGGGTTCCTGGCGCCCCGGGACCCCCAGCGCCAGCCCCCCAGGACTCCCGTGTCCCCCCGCAGAGCTGCAGCGCCGGGCCGCGGGGACCCTGGGGACGGAGGCGGCTCTGTTCGTGCCCACGGCCACCATGGCCAACCTTATTGCTGGTGAGTCCGGGGCTGCGCTCGCTGCTCCCCGCGCCCCCAGGCCCGCTCCTGGGGCAGGTGGTGCCCCCGTCCCGTGGGACGTGTGGAGGGCCCGGACAGCCCTGCGCCTCCCGGGTCCCCAGAGCCCTTTCCCCGGGAGAGCATTGCTGGGGCCGGGGCCCCCTCTGCTTTCCCCGGGGTAGAGCCCCACTGCTGCCGGGGAAGTCGTGGGGGTGGTAGGGCAGAGCTGTGGGGTGCTGCCCTTGGCAATCCTCCTTCACGGCCCCTCTTCCCCTAGTGATGTGCCACTGCCAGCAGAGGGGGACTCAGCTGTTCCTGGGCCAGAATGCCCACCTGCACCTCTATGAGCATGGTGGGGCTGCACAGGTGGGTACCAAGGGTGGGCACTGTGGCACTGGTGGCACTGGTGGCAGTGCAGGCAGGGGCAGGAGGGTGGCCATGTGCTGCCCTCCTCTGGCTGCCAGGGCTGGGCTGGGCAGAGGACCCACTGCCACAGCATCACCCAGATTGTCCCAAACCACAGGCTGTGCATGAGTAGGGGCTGAGCACACCCGATGGAGGGGACAGAGGGGCAGAGGGTTGGAAACCCCCTGTCGGCCCTGTGCTCTTACCCGCCCTGGGTGCAGGTTGCCGGTGTCCATTCTCAAGCCCTGCCAGATCTGCCAGACGGCACCTTCGACCTGGACCAGCTGGAGCTGACCATCCGCGAGGCCCACGGCAGCCGGTACCACCCACGCCCTCAGCTCATCTGCCTGGAGAACACGCACAGCTCGGCGGGAGGCCGGGTGCTGCCCCTCACCTACCTCAGGCAGGTGGGAGCCCATGGACAGTGCTGGCACAGTCCTGCCTGACATGAGCAGCTGGACCCAGCACATTGACACTCTGGGGATGCTGGAGCTCAGAGCACGGCTCACGGTGGACAAGATGCCCCATGGGTCCATCTCAGACCAGCTGCCCCTCTGCCCCCCAGGTCCGTGAGCTCGCTGACCACTACGGGCTGCAGGTGCACATGGACGGCGCACGGCTGATGAATGCGGCGGTGGCCCAGGGCGTGGAGCCTGCTCAGATCGCCCAGCACTGTGACTCCGTGTCCCTCTGCTTCTCCAAGGTGTGCTTGTGTGGAGAGGGGTCCCTGGGGCCGGTGGGAGGCAGCGCAAGCTGGAGCTTGGCCCTTGTTTGCAGGCGTTGTGCTAAGAACACACCTGGCAGGCTGGACGTGTCCCCAAGAGGGGCAGCAGGGGTGACCCCGCTGGTGGCTCTGCAGGGCCTGGGCGCCCCGGCCGGCGCGGTGCTGGCGGGGCGCAGGGAGTTCATCGCCGAGGCCTGGCGCACGCGGAAGCTGCTGGGCGGGGGGATGCGGCAGGCGGGAGTGCTGGCGGCCGCTGCCCTCCTCGGGCTGCAGCACGCGGAGGCCACGCTGCACAGAGACCACGACAATGCCCGGCGCTTTGCAGAAGGTACCTCAGGGCCCCTCGGCGTGCCAGGAGGTAACGGCACACCCAGCACTGCCAGGCACTGCTGGGGTAGTGCTGGCTCAGGCACCACCCCCCAGTGGTCATGCAGGGTCTCCAGCCAGGTGAGGATGCTGCTGGGATCCTCACCTGGCTGGAGTGCTGGGGTGATTCTATTCATCCCCGTGGTGCCCACAATGACCCTGGTACCACACGGCGGGGTAAAGGGCCCCCCTTCAGCCAGGACCTGGGGCATGGCTGGGGCAGGTAGCCTCTCCCAGGTAGCCAGGCACTGGGCTCGCACCCACCACCCCGGCCTCCCACAGGCATCCACGTGCTGGACTCGCCTCTCTGCTCTGTTAACCTGGCAGCGGTGGAGACCAACATCGTGATGGTAAATGTCCGTGGGGCCTGGCCATCCCCTGCCGAGCTCTGCGATCACCTGCGTGCCACCAGCGAAGAGGAGGTGGCTGAGACCGGGCAGGCTGTCAGCGTCCTGCTGCTCCCCTGGTTGGCACGCACCGTGCGCGCCGTCTGGCACCGCGACATCTCGGCCCACGACACCGAGCTCGCAAGGAGCAAGCTGGAGTTTGTTGCCAGGAAGTGCCAGGAGAAGCTGGCCCTGGGACTGCATCCGGCTCCTTCGGGCACAGGGGGAGCCTGAGCATCCTCCCAGCCCCCCGGCTGAAGCAGGTAGGCCAGCCCACAGTGCAGGGGCTGGGATCAGCCCCTGCGTGCTCCAGGTGCGTTCCCAGCTGACTGCAACACATTATCTGTCCCCACAGGCAGACTGACAAACCAGGCTGAGCCCAGCCTGGGGGAGACCCCAGTCCTTGGGGTGGTCAGTGCACAAAATAAATGTTTTCTGGCAGTACTGTGGCTGTGCGGTGTGTTTTAAGTGTGCCTGGCTCTCTTGCCTCTGCAGCAGGGACATTTCGGCCAGGGTCCCCATGGAGGGACAAATGCTCCTGAGGATGTAGAAGCATCTCATCCAGAGGACCAGAGTCACTGCACAGCAGCGCCAAGGACTGGCCAGTCTGGCCAGGACTGTCACAGGAGCATGTCTTAGATGGCTCCGTCACCCCCATTCCCAGAGGTTTGTGTCATCCCAGTCCTGCAGCCACAGGTGGGCTCCCCAGGCTTCTCTGTTATGTTCTGGGTCAGCGAGTCTGCAGCCCAGAACTCTGTGCTGGAAGAAGGGATTCCCTCAGCAGTAGTCACACTGGGTGTGCACTCACTGGCTCCCTGGGAAGCAGCTACCTCAGGCAACAGTAATTCTTGATTTATTTTGTATCGACAATATGCAGTTTAAAGGACATTGAGGGAATGATCTTCATCAACCAGTTGTCTGGACAGAGCCTTGCAGCCCTCAGCCCCTCATGCTCCGGCAGGCAGGAAGGCAGGAAGACCCCAGGAAAGGAGCACCAGCCTAGGCTGGGCAGAGCAGAAGGGGCTGGGGGAGTCTGAGGCAGTGGCCACCCTGTGCTGGAGCAAGGAGGCAGTGGGCAAGGGGAACACTGGCTGCCTGGTGCCGTCATGCAGGGCCATGGTCCCTGTCTGTTTGCTCTCAACATGCCATCATGCTCTTGAAATCATGTTCAGAATGACCTGGGATGAGGAACCAAGCCCTGTGAGCAGCAGCTGGCCCCACTCCTCCCCACAGGGAGGTGACAGCCAGCCCTGCACCCACCTGATCTGTCTCAGCACAGCCCTCCTGCCTACCTGAGTGAGGATGTAGCTGTTCTCCGACAGCTTCTCAATGACATCAAAGTGATCCACACCGGCCAGATCCAGCAGGGACACGGACCAGCCAGCTGCACGCAGGGCCTGCGGAGAGAGCAGTGCTGACAGGAGGGACCTCAATGCCCACCTGCCCTGCACAGGGCAGCAGAATGACAGCTTGGCAAGGAGTGGTGTCCTTCCCCAAGCCAGAAGCGCAGCTCTGGTCCAGCATGCGAGCTCTTCATCCCAGTTGGACAGATTGGCGAGGGCCAGCTGGAGCAGCACTCCCATGGAGCTGGGCAGGCACTGCTGGAGCTCACCTGGCTGTACTCCTGTGACTGCCTGCGAAACTCCGGGGAGTCGTGCTGGGCCACAACCACAAGCACCTCACAGGCCGCTGGCACCGCCGGGGCAACGTGTCGCATGGGACTATTCCTCTGGGCCACCTCCCTGCAGGAGTCACCGCAGTGGCAGATGACACAGCCCCTCGCTCCAAGAGCAGCCATGTCCTTGGCTGGGCTCATCGGCCAGGGGGTGGCACAGGCACAGAGCGGCCACAGAGCCACTGATGTCTGCCTGCCTGTGCCCTGTCCCTGTGGCTGTCCCTGCAGTGTGCAGGCTCACCAGCTCATGTTCAGAGCATCGTTCACATAGGTGTGCAGGATGGGCTCCAGATCGTACACGCCACTCACCAGCACTGCTCCTGAAGGCAGAGGCACTGGCAAGTGAGAGGCCACAGCTTGGGTGGCTCCCACAACCCTGGGAGCTCATCACTGGGCAGCTCATCCCCTCAGCTCCACAGCCCCACAGCCTTGTTCCAAGTGCAGAGACCAGTTCTCCTCCAGCCTCTGCACTGGGATACGCCAACCCTACCTTTGATATCTGGCACCACGCGGAATTCCGTCCAGTCTGTGAACAGCACCATGGCTGCCAGGTGGGCCCCTGCCGAGTGCCCACACAGGTAAATGCCTCTGGAAGGAGAGAGCTGTGAGCCAGTTCAGGGAGTGACTGGCAGGGACACCTGGGGACACCTAGGGACATCCTGCTCCATGCGGAGGGGGCAGCACGCCTGAACACAGCAGCTCGGATGTTTCCTAATCCATCAGCTGCTGCCTTGTGCAGTGATAGGATCGTGGCTGCAGGCACTGCCCAGCACATGGGCTGAGGTGCTGGAGTCTTTGTCCTGGCGCAAGGCTCGTTTGCCCCCCCAACCACGCTCACGCGTCAGCCCCCCCGGAGCTGCCCACCTGATCTCAGGGTACTGCTCCACCAGGAAGGCAAGGCTGCGGCGCACCTGCAGAACCATGGTGTCCATGTGGCCTGGGCAGAGGGCAGAGGGCAGGGTCAGAGGGCGCCGGGCCAGGCACGAAGCCACAGCCTCTGCAGGGTGACACCCACCTCTGGGGGCTGTGTCGTACCCCACCGCCACCACCGCCACCCCCTGCGACACCAGCGGCGGGGCTGCAAACCCCGACTCTTCCTTACTGGGGGAAGAGAGACGCTGACAGGCTGTGGGGGCCAGGGGCTGTGGGGGCCAGCTGGGGACTGGTCAGACCCCACGTACCCAGAGAGTCCCAGTGTCAGGAGAAGGGAGTCAGTAAGGGTGGGCAGGGGGAGTCCCTTCCCAAGGGATCCCACCTCACCTCAGGCACTGCCAGTATCCGCCATGGATGTAGACCAGGACCGGGAAGGCTGCACAGTGCAGTGGGGGGTGAGCAGAGGATCTGACCCCTGCCCACCCCCGTCCTCGCCGTCTCTGTCACTTACTCCTAGAATGGTCCGTGGGGAAATAGATGTCCAGCTTCTCCCCGTCCCCTTTGCCATAGGGGACGTGCAGCGAGGTCTGGGCGCTGGCCCGGGCCCGCTCGGTTCCTGCAGGGCGGGAAGCGGTGGGGCATGGGGCCATGGCACCGAGCGCAGCCCCCACTCCCGGCGTCCCCCGCTCCTCACCTGCCGCCGTCACCGCGAGGTGGGCGTCGATGATGGTGTCCCGGTCGAGGCGGGGGGACCAGCGGCTGGGGGAGTACTGGTCCTCCAGCGCCTGCGGGGAGGCAACGGGGCTGCAGCGGGGGCCGAGAGAGACCCCGCGGTCTGGCAGAGAACCGCGCGCCGCCTGCCCCGGGCCCTACCTGGGCAGTCATGTCCCGCCACCCTCCCCCGGGC